GCCGCAACCCTCCGCTGGATCCGAGGGGGAGGGGTGGGAAGGGGAGAAAATGAAATAAAAGATAATTACTGAACACGCCGAAATTGAATGCATCGTTTCTTAATAAATCCAGGCCTGGACTCGGAGCCCCCGCCGCCCTCCCCTTCGCGTCCCCGCCTCCTCCTCTCCCCCCACCCCCACGCCCGTCGCATTAGCGGACACTCTATAATAGTGGCATTTATTAAGAGACCTGTTCTCCTCTCGCTGCCCCAGCTTATGAAAATTTGATCATGTCACGCAGACAGAGCCGCATGGCCATTTATTTAGGTCTGGATTTTCTCGCGCACGCTCTCCCCACCTTATCCCCAATTTCAGGTGTGGTAGACACTCTTCCCACCTCCACCACGCCCCGTCCAGTGGACAGGGTAGGTGCCTGAGAACCCTTGGGGGGGTCTGGACATTCTGGGCAGGGCACGAAAGTGTGGCGCGAAGAGGTTGTGATGCCTGGAGGCCGGGACCCAGGGCCGCCCGAGCGATTGTGATTAATACCCACAGTAATCATACTTAATAATAATCAATCGTTGACGACTCTGCATCTACTGGCAGCGTTTCGTGGCTCTGCGGCCTTGCGAAGGGCTGAGGCTGAGCACCTGGCCTTCTGGAGCCCTCAGAAACTCAGGTGGAGGGTGGCTGGAGGGAGAGGGAGTTGGCGGGGTCAGGGGTCATCAGGTGGTGGGGGGCACGGGAAATGCGCCGTTGCTGCTGCCGCCACCTGATATTGTTCCCAGACCGCCGTCTGGGCGCCTAGGGGCTGGGTGTTAGAATAACACTGACATTCCTGGCCCGGACAAAAGCTGACGGCGAGGAAGGCAGAGAGCTGGTACCTGTGCCGGGGGAGCTGTTTTTCAGCTTGGACGTTTGCCTCGACTCTTTCATCCAGGGGAATATCTGTTTGGTGAGGGTGGAGTTGGAGCCAGGACCGCACTTGGGAGGGCCGCTTTTGCTGGGCCCGGCCCCGTTACTGCTGTTGCTAGTGGTACTGATAGGTGCGGCGCTGGGCGGGGGTGAGCCCGGCGGGGCGGGCAGGGGCTCCGGGGCCAGGCCCGGCCTCATGCAGCTGCCGTTGAGCTCCTTGCTCTTGGCATGCGGGGCGGCATTGCCCAGGGACTGCAGCGAGCACGCCGAGCGCTGGTAGTCGCCCTCCAGTTGCGTGGCGGCCTGGAAAGGGGGTTGGGGGGGCCCATCATAGCCGAAACCATTGCTGCCAGGGTATGAGGAGTAGCCTCCGAAGAGTGCCGACGCGGCGTTGTCGTAATAGGTGGCTTTCTGCATCGCTTGGCGAGGCCCGGGCAGTGGGTGGCAACTTGCAAGGGTCTGATACCCTCACGACCGGACATTGGCACCCCTGGGGGTCACGTGGCACGCCGGACCCCCCTCCCTGTTCTGCCCCCCTCCTCCCGGGGTCTGTTCGTAGCTTTTGACCTGCAGGGTGAGAGAAGAGACACAGGGGGAGAAGAGGACTGGGGCTCGAATCCATCTTAGGAACTGAAAAGGGAACTGACATCAATAGGGTTTTTTCTTTTCCCCAACCTAATGTCTTCCCAGCAGATGCTGAGGCCACTTTCTTGACCTGAAATGGATTTTTCTTATTTCAGCCACTTTAATTTTAAAAGAAGAAGACCACCAGTTTTCATTTCCACTTAAAAAACAAGGACTGTACTCCTCTGGGGACTGCCTAGATATAGAATCTTATATATTGCAAGGGCCATTGCTCCTCTCCTGCCTGCACACTAACCCCTGACCTCTCCTCCTCCCTCTCCCTACCCCCACCCCAACTCTGGGATAGGGTGGCTCAAGTATGGGGGGGGGACTAATAGGCTCCAAAATAAAAGCATCATCAACACCCTCCTCTGAGCTGAGAGGCCTCCTGCCTTTGCCTCCATCTAGGTCTCTTTCATCCAAGCAGAGTCTAGCCTGGAGAAAAAAAACTGAGGATCTCCAAAAGAGGCAGGAGGGAGAAGCAAGTTGAGCAGGGAACCTTCTGGTGTGAGTGCTTCTCTCCCTCCCTTCCCACCTCATGAAGACAACCACAGCCTGACCTAGAAACTTCCTGAAGATTTTTAACCTCCAGAGCTAGTGGAACTGGCTCCTCCATGGCCCTACTACAGGTACCACCACTTCCCAGTCTGAATCTTTGCTAGCCAAGTCTGGGACCCCACAGCCAGCAGCCTCCATGGGGCTCCCAAATGGAACAGGATTGTTTCCATTTCCCTGACCATTTGGCCTAGGTCCCCCCCCACCTCCATTTTTTCCATCAGACTCAATTTTTCCCACCCTCTTCTTGACAGTCTGTTTTCTTTGATTTCCCCGAAAGAAGAAAAGAAGAAAGAAATTGGATAACTGCTGGACTTTACTACCAAGAGATGAGAAAGTGCCTTCTGAAAGAGAACAAGTTTCCCTAGGAAAAAAAGTAAACAAAGCAATCTGAACAATATTATTCTCTGGGTTGGAAACAGGGAGCCCCTGTTTACTGAAGTTCTCTGAGGCAAAAAAAAAAATCATTATTTTAATGCAAGCTTTAAAAGTGTGCTGGGAAAATAAAGGTTCAAGTTTTCATAGGATTTTGTGTATTTCTTCTGAAACTTCTGACTGCATCTCACCCCCACATCTGTCTTCCCAACCTCTCCCTATCACTTTTCATAAAACCTCCAGACTGACCCTCTCTTCTGATATGCGAGTTTGAACTACTTAAATTTCATTCATCCCAGCTGGTCAACTCCAAAGAAAACTAAAAATAGGAAAATAAAATAAAAGGAGTACAGGTGGAGGAAGTCCCTCCCACACATAAATCCCTTTCTCAATGGCACAGATTTATACTCAAAAGGGAGCCCAGTAGCCCTGAGTTCCTATTGGTTTCTGGGAAGAATTTGTTTCTGGGAAATACACATGAGTCTGCAAAGCAGCAAGTCCTTTCAGGGAGGAGAACCGGAGTTCAATTGACCAGGCTGACCCAATCCCTTTATTATTATTACCATTAGCCTCTGGTGATTTAACCAAAATTAGCTTTGGAGCAGCCCTGGCTGAAGGGGGAATTAATTAACAGGCATCAGTTGAGTTTGTTATTAATAGATAGGAGAATGAAATAAAAACGTTGGAGGTGGTTGGATGGCTGGCCCTGGCTTTATTTAGTCTAAATGATTGTTACAGTAGTAATGATGATGATGATGATGATGATAATAATAAAACAATAATTCGACTAGACGCCTGGGGCCGAAATTCCTGTCGCTCCCCCTCCAATAAACCCACAAACCATCGCAGGACCGAGGCAGGAGCGTGTGGGAAGCGAGAAGCCAGAGACGTGATAGGAAAGAATGGAGACTCCGCCGGCGGCGAGAAAGGGCCAGGAAGGTTTGTGGATGGAGTTAGCCTCAGGCTGCCGCCGCCGGGCTGTCTCAGCCCTCGGCGACTACCTATGTTGGCCCAAGGAGGCGAAGAGAAAGCGTTTAGGACGCGGAAACGGTTAGCGGCGGCAGGTTCCAAGCACACCGGGCGAAGGGCCGAGCCCTAGGGCGGCAGCAAGTTTGGGCGCTGGAGGTAACCGAATTAAAAGGCGCCTTAGCAACTCCACACCAGGACTTTGCCAGGCCGTGCTCGGCTGGAGGGCGCAGAGGCCTGGCTGGTGGGACAGTGAGAAGAGGGAAAGATGCGGAGGGGATCCTAGATCTGGGGATCTAGGAGAAGGGGGGTGGGGAGCAGCTCTACCAAGCCAAACATGTCTATTTCCCTTGCCTCCATGTTGGAAAAATCCAGGCTCCATATGGCTTCTCAAGAGAGAGGGAGGGAGGGAAGGAGACGGTGGCTCCCGGCTTCCCCCCAGGGTCTCGCTGGAGAAGGGCGGTGAGCCACCCCAAGAAACCCACCTTTCCAGGCACACCCTCGAAGAGCCGGGGAGAGTAACAATGGCTAGGGAAGCCCCGGGAGAGGGTCTAGGCCACCTTCCAGGACTTCAAAAAAATAATTAATAGAAGGAAGGAAAATAAAAGAAAAGAAAGGAAGAGAGAAAAAGGTTAGGCACTTCTTAGCAGCCGGGAAAAATTCAGCCCAGAATCTGGCTGCTGAAGGAAAAGAGAGGAGAAAGGAGAGAAACAGGAAGAGAGAGGGAGAGAAGGAGGGAGGGAGGGAGAGAGAGAGAGAGGAGAGAGAGAGAGAGTCGCTGGCGGTAGGGAAAGGAAGTAC